CATAACTAGTAAAATACAAAAGCAGTAGTAGAAATGAATAATCAGTACAATGATAACTAGTAAAATACTATCAAAATATCAATAAATGAAGAATAACTAACATTAGATTTGTGGTAAATTTAAATAAATTTTCAATTTATTTGTGTTTTAAATGATACTATCCAAATTTTAATATAAATATATAATATAAATATATAATAATATAATAAATCAAAACTTTATACTGAAATTAAAAACAAAATGTTATTAAGAATTTCTTATATAATATACTGTACAGTACATATGATTTATATCAATGTTAAATGTATGAATACATTATTACAGAGCTCTATATGTCTTAGATATAAACTGTACAATATAAGTTAAACTAGTATAGTATAAGAAAATTCTTAAGATTACTACTTTTTAACTGAATGTGTTCTTAACTAATTCTACTGTTTTTATTTTAGTGTATAATTCTAAGAGTACTAGTTGTAGAGAGTAAATGTGTTTTTCATTATTGGTTTACTGAACTCATCTGAATTTAAATTTTTTTTTCTTTATTCAAAGCTGAAATACACTACAAGTTAGGCAAATTTTCTCCCTTAAATATTGGTATGATTTAAATTATATTAGACCAGAGTGAATAAAGAATATAAAAGTATTCATTTGAACTATTAATGAAAAATCATGCTCAATATTTAATGGATTATAAGCAATAATCCATGAAATATTGGATATAATCTCTTGTAAGGATGAAGAATTCTTTAGCACACATTCATCTAATTGAGTAATCTCATTTCAATATATTTTATCTGCATATTATATGTGTGTATGGCAATTTAACAACAGCATTCTTCATTATTTTAGAAAAGCAATTTTTGTCAATCCAGATTATGTTAATAATTTCAATAACATGCTTTGTCAGTAAGCATAGTATTGCTTTTTCTAATATAACATTCATATATTTTTTCTATTTTCAAATTCATTTTTTAAATATACAGTAGAGCATCGATTATCTGAAACAATATGAGAGAGGGGTTGTTTCGATAACTGATCATTTATGAAAAAATATATTAAACACAAAACTGTACTGTATATATTTTGTATCACATGTCTTACAAATACATATCTTATATTAGTAGTACATTAAAGTAGGCCTAAAGTTTAGGTTGGCAGGAAGGGAGAGTGCTGCAGTGCTACAACACTAGCAAAAACTGGAGCGCTTTTGGTTATCCGATGTTTCAGTTGATTGGTATTCGGTTAATTGATGCTCTACTGTATCTGTAATCTTGAAATAGCATATATAATTTTTAAAATAGTAGTTAGTACAGTGGTACCTCGGTATACATCTGCTTTAGAATACATCCAATTTGGAATACGTCCTGTTTGGACGAAACAAATTTTGCTCGGTATACAACTTTTGTTTGGTATATGACTTAATTCAATTATATGAGTCATCTATGAATAAGTAACATTATCGGTGTATTAGACAGTTTATAACTTTGTTAAATTTCCTTTTATTTTAATTTGTAAGTAAAATGTTATTATTTTTATTAATCATGAATTGCAGAAAGGCAACAGAAAAAAAAAATGACTAAAATCACAATGGAACTGAAAAAAGAGATTGTTGAGAAATATGAAGGTGGCATGCGTGTTCAAGATTTAACTGTTGCGTATACCGAGAATGACAATATTAACAATCGTGAAAAATAAAGACATTATTAAATTTGCTAACGTTGTGAAAGGGGTTAAATCAATTTCTAAACATAGATCAAAGACATTAGGTCATGTCGAGAAATTGCTTTTGCTTTGGATAACTGAAAAAAAGTGTGCTGGCGATAGCGTATCAAAAGCAATTATTTGCGAGAAAGCTAAAAAGATACATGCTGATCTCATGAAAAATCAAGCAGGAACTAGCCAGCAAAGAGAGGTGTTTAAAGCCAGTCATTTTTTTTTACATGAGAACGGATTAATCATTTTTACATTACTTCTTATGGGAAAGGTTGGTTTGGTATGTGTCCTATTCGGTATAAGTCCAAACACCAGGAACGGATTAAAATCATATATCAAGGTTCTACTGTATATGCTATTATTGATAACTACAATTTTATTTTCTTGATTATATTTAAGCAAGAAATTTGTAAATTGAAATAAAATGCTATATTGTTGAACAGTCACATAGTTTGTATCATTCATCTAGAGAAGTTTGTTCTAATTTTTGTTTTGCAAATTTTCTTTTGTTTTTTATTATTTCTGCAAGAAAAATCCTAAACTTTTGAAAATAATTAAAACAAACTAAACACAAATTTTTTCTAATTGTTGAATTCTTTATAGTATTTACCATATTAATTTTTCATTTCTCTTGCATTTTTCAACTGGTTTCACATTGTTTACTGATAAACAATTCAGCTTATGGCTATGATTAATTTGTTTATTCTAAATACAACAGAATACAGGGTGGTCACAAAGTCTTTTCCTTATTACAAACATTTATTTGACAAGGACTATGCAGTTCATAACATAATTTAGGCCATTCCTAGCATTTTTTTCCTGTAATTTTGTACCAAATGTGGACAGTCCAGATAGAAATGCAATTGCCAGTAATCAAATGTGTCTTTGCAGGAGATAGTTCAATGTGATCTTCACATAAAATGAGCAATTATTTATTGTAACATCATCACAATGCCAGGTTGCAATTTTTAATTTATTTTATTTAAAGTATATGCTCTCCACCTCAAATTAGTAGTGGCTTGCCCCTGTACATCTTACTTTTCTTTAACAATAGAGTCGTGCCAGTCATCTAACACCTGAAAGGTGTTAGATGACTGGCACGACTGTTAGAAAACTGGATGACTGGCACGACTGGTTAGAAAACTGGTTAGTTTCTAACAGTCATGCCAGTCATCTAACACCTTGACTGGCACGACTGTTAGAAAATTTTGAATTGAAATAACATGACTTCCGGTTTGCATCAAAGTTTGTATAGAGTTAATTGGAACCTCCTGCCCCTAAGGTTTCCATATCTGGTCTTGGATTTCATCTATCTAATGCCATTCTTGAGATTAAGGAAAGACACAGACAGACAACGGATTACAGTGGGAATTTATAGGTCTATAATTTTTTCAAATTGCAGCCCAATCACCAATTATAATTTAGCAAAACTTCAAAAAAGAGTATGGACAAGAACCATCAGATGTAAGAAAGCATTAAAGGTTGGAATGTAATGTTTAAAAAGACTGATAGTGTTGGTGACCTAAAATATTAACAAGACTGCCAGTCCTCTAAACTTTGCAAACCAATTCTTAATGCTTTTCATATCTGGTTCTTCTTGTCCATACTCTTTCCTAAAGTTTTGCTAAATCATAATTGATAATTTTGTTTCCCAATACCACAGATGACATTGAACTATCTCCTGCAAAGAGACCACTTGGATACTAGCAATTACAGTATTACACAGACTGTGGGCAGTCTGTGCAACATTACGACAAATACTCTAGGAATTAGTCTAAATTATGCCATAAACTGAACTATAAACTGTTTCTACCAAGCAAAATTTTGTACAATGTTTATAAACAAGAAAGACAATGCCCACCCTGCATCCTAAGTACAATAGGCATAACATCAGATTAGCTATAATGTCATGTATGAAATTGATATTCAAAGTTATTTTACCTAAACTTTGCATTTTGATCATTTTATAATGTACTTCACAAATCTGCAATACAATTATAAACTTTAATATATAGTTTAATAACTTATTTTTATGAAAAATTGAAACACTCAGATATTAATGTAGTTTAATATGGGTGTATTAAACTACATTAGTGGAAAAAAATTCAAATGTATCAAATAAAATTTAAAAATTAAACAAGTTTTGGTTTTGCCTGCTTTAATTTATATTCATTTTTACAAATTATATGCTCAGTTTATCATAAAAATTATTTATATAGCAATTTATTATTTATAATTTAGCAAGCTTAATTCTTATCATATCTTAATCAAATATTTGATATGCTGATAATGCCCACATGCTATATGTCCTAATTAGTAAAAATTACAAATATCCTATTAGTAAATGATAAATTCTGGAATTAGATGCTAATTTACTAATTTTATAACAAAATCTGTTCATATGTTATCGATATAGGTGTTAATATACTCCTACAATAAAAATATAGGATAAAATCTTAATAAATTATCTTAAATACTAGAAAACAATAATATAAATAGCATGCAATATTTTTAAATTTCTTAATTAATGGATTCTGTTTTTGTAAAGACGAAATGCATTTGTTGCTAAACTGAAATACTATTATTTCAAACAGCTGATGTTTGATATATATTTTCAATGTATTTATTATTGATAATTTATTTATTTTCAACTGTTTGAAATTTTCGCAATCAAATTCTGAAATATATACGAATGTAATTTTATATTAAATCAATAAAAAATATTTTAAAATAAATTTTCTGTTTTTTGTTTTTTACATTTACAGGGTGTTTGGAAATCACTGTGCACTTTTCTAATCATATTTTCACATTATTTCAAAAGACAAGTGGTCCCACGCTCACCAGATCTAAATTCACTAGACTTATATATGGGGAGAAGCAAAATCTGCAGTGTATTGAGATTGTCCGTGCACACTGGATGATTTGAAAGCAGCAATAATAGCATTCATTCAGTCTTTCAAGTGAGCAACTGATAGCAATGTTTAGAAACAAAATAAGAAGGATCCAAGCCTGTATTGATGCTAACGGGGGTCACTTTCAACATTGTTTATAATTGACATTCATATTCCATATTGAAACAGGTTGGTTAATAAATATATAAGTGCACAGAAACTTTCCAAATACCCTGTATAATATAAAATGAATTCATTGATGACTATGAACATTAAAATATTCTGGTAGAGCNTAACAATATTCAAATATGAAAAAATGTCATATTGTTTCAAACTGTAACTGAACTGTATTTAAGTTAAAGAAATAAAGTATAGCATTTTTTATACTACAATAGTCACCTGTTCATATTCCTTCATTGTGCGAGCTCTTAATGGAGATATATAACCAGTCTTACATCCCACTACATAAAAATAATCAAAAAGTTTACATTTAAATCAAGATTAATTAATAAAGAGTAAATAATTAATTTACTTATTATTTCAGTAAATATGGCAAATGTTTAAAAATTACATGGCAGATGTAACTTTGTAAACTTTAAAGGAGAAAAGTATCAAAATTCTAAACAGATACTATTTATATAGAAGAAATTACTTTTTTTTAAAGTGTTATCACATCAATGATAAAACTTCACTGATAACTCACCTCCAGATAATCCATCCACACTATCAGATGTAATTTCCATGGATACTTGAGAGTTATTAGCACTATGAAAACAAGATTAATATTTATTAAACAATCATTACTAAGATACTAAATATTTTATAAATATATTTTAAATATTAAAACGCCAATTAGAAAACAACAAAACATAAAATATTCTTAAAGAAATGCATATCTTATTATGATGTTTCAGGGTATCAAAGCATGTTAATTAATCAGTAACTCTTCATTAAGACAATTATTAAAATCAAACAAGATTCGAAATTTAATGAATTAATAATCACCGAAGAGAGAAGAAAATCAACACAATTACTAATTAAATTTACTAGCATAGAAATTTATTAATCTCATTACTTATAATTTAATCATATAAATTAAACATTATTTTGTTATTATTATTTCTTAACATGACATTCAATTATATTAGTATACTAAATTGGCACTAATCCATAACCAAACACAATAAGTTAACCACCTGAATAAGATTACTCTTCAAACAATCTATAATTAGATTTGGCAATGAGTTATTATGTGCGCATTATAAACCTTAGTTTATGTCAATGGCTTCTGTGACAATACTTTTCATCTTAAGTTATCAAAATATATATAACACATTTTATTTTAAAATATGCATTTTTCAACAACAGACGTTTCAGAATCAATGCAGTGAAGTTTGATCAGTAATATTAAAAAATTTCACTACATAAATTAATTTAAAAAAAAAATACCTTTGGAATATTAATCTATGTCCATTAAGACACCTGGGTGGGCTGACGCTCCTGGAGCATCGATGCCTAGTAAATCCAGACATAACTAAAAATTCGTACACGTGTTGGCTCCCATCTCAAAACATGCAACCTACGTTACTACATAGACCAGTCTGACAATAACTACTTTCCCAGTTTCCACACATGCGGGACGTAAGACGTTCCAGCTGTTGATTGGAAGAAAGGAGAAAATATCGGAAGAGCTCAGTGGGTTGTAAGTTACATCGCAAATACATCGTTTCTAAGGTACAGAGAATAGAAAAATACAAAAAAAATCTCCGCGAAAAGTATGACTCATCTCACCTCCATGGGTCAATATGCCGGAAACGATAGATTAACCGCTTAATAGAGATAAAATCGCTAATCAAACGAAGGTAAAAACAGCCTAAAAAATAGAAATAAACTTTTGCAATATATATATAATTTTTTTCCCCCTTAGCGATCGTTTCGAAGAACGTTTCCTGCTTCAATATAATCGATACACTGTATATTGAGTTCGTGTGTCCGTGATAAATCAATAAGATGCAATATAAACGTATTTAAGTTTTATATATTTTTTAAAATCAACTTCTGCTGGATATTTTGTGGATAAAATGTACGATAGTGTGTTGCTAAGCGACCAATTAACGCGTAGATGATAAAATTGTACCGTAGCAAACAATGAATATTAATGCCGATGGAATTATCGATTAGTTAATACAACTTCCACATTTCACGAAAAATTGTGAAGAAATTTTAGTGATATTTTAAAACTATATATATATATAGTTCTTTTTATTTTATTTTCTTGTCGTCCCACTTGTTTGGATGACACCTAGGGGGGTAGTATCCAGTACGAAAGCATCTGTTCTCAATAGGCATTCGCCCAGTTGGCAAATGCTTCTATTATTAAATACAAGATACGAAATCACTACCGAAATAACACGTTACGATACTCAGCTACTGCATAATTAATAATTGCTGTAATGATTTTATATAGTAATTTACCCACTTTGTTTTGAATTTAATCAATATCGTTATGGAAAAACGTGTATCCGCAGTGGCTGCAGAATTAGAAATTGTACGCTTTAAATTAATGAAATTATTTATTTATTTACATGCCTTCTACACTGTTTATATATATAAAAACTACGAAGAGAAAGTTTCGTTAATATCTCCATCTATCAAAATCTATCAAACGTGTATTGCAAGAAAGACGAACTTCGGGTGAAAGTTATATTATAAAAAAATTAATATAACTTTTAATCATTTTAATGAATAGTTTATTCGTAAACTGTCAAGAAAAGTTTATTTTATATGTAATCAATCAATCTTTTTGTACTTAATAAACATCAAATTCAATAAAATTAATTTATGTCCAGGATTAATTTGACAACTTTCAAAAATAAATGATTTTCAAGTGTTTGTTATTTTGTGGTAAATAAAAATATTCCCTAACAATTTTTATAAAAATATATATTCCTTTAAAATCACATTTTGAGTGTCTTATTTGGAAATATCTTCTTTCTATTATTCAGAAACATATGCTATATTTTCTATTATCAGAACTGAGAGAGAAACTTTGGACTCCTTGCAACATATTGCAAACTAATACTACACAAAAGCTTGGTGATATTATTATGAAAGGACTCCACTCTATTTGTTAAACCCCTATATATTGTCTAACAACAATAAACCACTGAAGGCTTTAGACAGCAATAGATCTGTGGGGAGCCAAAAGAATTCACAAAATAGAAAAATACTGAAGGTTCTCTCTTGCAAAATGGATATTTAAGATTAAATTCAAAATCTAAGCTTTAAATGAGGGCATAAAAATATTACTTTAATTTGTCAATCACATGTTACTTTATAATAAGTCGATCTGGTAGTTTGTTTTATTTATTTAATTAGATTAGCCTATTTATTATTTAATGTCTACTTATCTTAAATTCATTATACTGTATAATTGATTAGAATTTAAAAATTTATTACATAATTTGGAAATTGAAGTTGAATACTGTACTAATTTCACATGGGAAAATATATTAACAGCACAGTTTTGATAATCAGGTTTTAAAGACCATTGCAATCACATAAATCCAAGAAAGTCAAACTGTTATATATTTTTATGCAGTAAACTGATGAAGTTCAATGATTATTTTAATAAAATTTTATCTTTCAGAATTTCATTAAGACAGAAAGCATAATTTATATTTTTATAATAGTTTATTAAATGATGATAAAACTAATTTTGATTTATATTATTATTAAAATTACTGTGTTATGATTTTATGAATAACTTTGGTTCTCTCTCGAGTCAAATTTTCTATGTAGAAGGTTGCACATGCCTTTTCCTCTGTCTCTAGTTTATTTAAAATCATTCGATATTATCATCATCTAAATTATATTCACTATGGAATATAAAATTTTCTTCTTAATTAATATATAAATAATAATAAATAAAAACTTAATATAAAAAAGATAGTTTTTCATATTAGGTTAATTATATTAAGTCTTGAAATATTAATTAATTCAAGTCCGCCCTCTAGTCCGCCCTCGGCTAGTCCGTCACTCCGGTTAATCCGACCGTGGTCGGAGTCGAGAAACTTGTCCCGACTCGTCGGTGACTCACCGTCCGTGGCGTTTTTCTGTGTTTGTTACAGTATATGTTTTACATTGTGTGTTCATGTACAGTTTTGTGTGTGTTTTCAACATGTCAGGAGTGAAACGTAAACATGTTACTCTTTCATTAAATGAAAAATTAGCAGTGCTACAAAGACTAGACAAAGGGGAAGATTGTTTATTTTACTTTTTTCTGATAATCCGACCTTTTTTGCGTTCCGACCATACCCCCAGTCCCAAAGGTGACGGATTAGAGGG